ACCTGGGTAGCCGCGAAAGGGGTGACATCCTCCCCGAACTCCTCTATCGCCGCCGCAGGGAGGAATTCCTAGGGAGACGACCAGGGGATTTTGACCCTCCATCCTCTAGCATGATCTCTCTCTTTCTCTCCCATCTATCTATTATCTATTATCTATGTATCTATCTATCTGCGTGTCTCTATACGCTCGGCCACCCGCACGCATTACACGTACGTGCGACGGAGGTCAGGTAGGTCGCTCCAAGTGACTCGGCCCTGACACCGTATCGGCCACCACCACCGGCTGATTCGTTGATTAAATTATCGGCCGGCAATCAACGCGACCGATATCGTTGCGGAGTCTGTCTCTGTCTCTCTGTGAACCGAAATTTTCATCCCTCTCTATAGCGGCGCGCATATCCCGAAAACGTTCGAAGAACATCCCGAGGATGTTTGAATGTTCTTGGAGCTTTCGGGATATGTTGCGGTATATTAGGGTTTCGACTTTTACGCGGCTCATTTTGATGATTAAATATATGTTTATCGTCGTGGGGGATGTGCTGGGAAATTATTCGTGAGGAAAACTATGCTTCATGCGATTATGAACTCGGCTATATTCCGCCCTGCAACTTGGCTGTTTCTACTGAATTATGTAACATTCTCTAAAAGGACTAAAATGTGAGAAATGAAATGAGGAAATTAATTCCCCCAGAGTTGTCTTTCTGCTCCGCTTGTATAATATACGTTTTATAAACAAGTTATATTTGTGGAAATTTTGCGTTTCTATGGATACATACTTCTCCGACTTATATGACATGGAGATTATTAATAACTTTGCTCTGCGAGAGTCATCTGATTGGTCGATTAAATTATCAGCTGTTTAAATATTGAATATTCCTTGACTACTTAACTATGAAAGAACGGGAGGATAATTCAGTTGCAGACGCGAATATATATATATATATATATATATTTAAGCATTTATCAAGGGTCAGGTGGCTCCTACTAAATAATCGTACAGTACGCGGTTGTTGCGCTGCGCTTGATACAGTCATGTTTCCTCGGTCGCTAGTTGGATTATACGTATCTGGTGTGTCGGAGTATGGATTTGCCACGCGTTGATTAATTCTCGACTGTTCAAGCCGCTCTCTCAAATTGAATTCCAACAATCTTGGCTCTTTAATCGTAACGCGACAGCATCATTTAGAATCACGTAGGAATGTTCTCGTTAAAAAGTATCGATGGAAATGTGTCAAATTAAAATGAGCGAAAGTTATCACGCACGAATCCCTCGGAAGCGATTAAAGCTGAAGGGGATGCTGACCATGACTGTTTTACCGACTTTGAGTTCAAGGGCTTTTTTTTTTATTGACTGTACAGATTGAAAAATCCTTCCCCACAATTAGAGTACTGATAATAATGAACGGGGAGCGCCGTAATTTTGCATAAAAAAACAATAAAAGCTAAAAAATTACAGTTTTTTTATCAACCTCTTGCATCAGCTCGTAACAATACTTATTTAATACAAAAGTTCTGCAATTTATTTGTGCAGAAAATGTGGCGCTCCTAATAGAGATGACATGAAAGAATAATACAAAAGTAATAAAAATGAGATTAAAAGTCTGTATCAAAAGATTCAATAAAAAGTGAACCTAACCTAACTTAAAGTCGGTAAAACAACACAACGGCAGCATTCACTTAAGGGAATTATTTATTAATACGCACTGTGTATATACATTTATTATATTTGATAAAATATAGAATTTACGTGATATAAAGAAGGAAGAACGCTCGCTCGCGTTCTTCAATCTTTAAATATATATTGAAATAAAAAATGAATCCCACATCCGATACACGTGTGTGGGACAAAGCGAGATGCTCTCTGGGACAGCGAAGGATGACCGAGAGAGAAGGTCCGATTCGGAGACTCTCTAAATCGAGTTACGCGGCCTGCTGGAGATAATGATATTTATGCGCGTCAAGTGTATGATGTGTGGTTCGCCACACGTGAATTACGAGTAGGCCGAGTAGAAGAAGGAGGAGGAGTAAAAGCGCGGAAAGTTCAAACCTTCTGCCAGGAGAATCTCCCGAGGGAGAGCCTCGCGCGTGCGTGCCATTTTCGCGAAAGCGCGATTTCCAAAGTTTCGCACATTTTTAATGTCGCCGCGATTGATTTACGTATATACGAATGTATATGAAGATTTATGCAAAATATACTTTTTTTTTTTTTTACGACGAAAGACTCTTGTATATCTGCTTGAAAGACGCAAGGGAGCACTTGCCCCCTTGGAATCAGTAAAAAAATGAAGCAACATTAATTTATTTGCATATTTAATATAAAAAAATGAAAATAACAAGAAATTTTTAAGTTTATAATCATGCCCCGTTGAAAAGATAAATACGTGATTAATTAACTCTACGTTCTTCGAAATATAAATTACAGTGCGATAAATTATCATTATCGCGCGTGTAAATACGATAAAATATATTTATAATAATGTTTTAATGATATTTTATTTACAAGTTGCATCGGCGCGCGTTGCAGAGAAATTAATGACATTTATATATCAATTGACAATTATATCGATGGCATAATAATTAATGCAAACAAACGCGTAAGCGGGATAGTAAACAGACACAAATCCGCTTCTAAACTATTTCAATTAGCGCACCGCGAACACGCTATTAATATATCTACACTCGGATACGCAAAATCTATTATTTACATTCCCGTCGAACGCAGAACTGGCAACAAAAATTAATCGGTAATGAATTAGTAAAAAATTATAAATCTGAAAATTACGCGCGAGAAAAATAATAGAAAATGAAAAGAGAAATTGAGGGTTTCACCGATCATCGAAATACAACGAAACGGAAGCGCTTCCGTTCGGCGCGCTGCGCTTTTCAGGTGGCGGATCGCGCGTAAATATTTATCGTGGATAATTCGAGTATACAGGCGTCTATTACAGCCGCCCTTCGTCGTCGCTGCCCCTCGGGTTTGACCCCGAGGGACATTCCTGGCGTGACACGTAAGGTCTCTCTCTCTCTCTTGCCATGTTCCGCTCCGGCTTGCTACCGTCCAAAAAAGAGAGAGAGTAGAAAAGCTTCGTCCGGTGAGTCGCGCGGGATTTTGAGCCACGAAGTTTTCGCATTGTCATTTGGAACGCGAAAGGGAACTGCGGGAGAAGGGCGACGTTGAGGGGTTGAAAGGGTGGTTGGGAGAGAGAAACGCGGATGGAGAGACAGGGAGAGAAAAAACGGATGCAACGAGAGGGCGACGAAGAAATGATGGGGGATGAAGGAGGGTAGAGAAAGTTAGGAAGCGCGCGAGAGGGATGATAGTTTATTAATAATGCGCGAAATAACGTTTCCGAACTTTATTAAGTTTCGCGCGCGCGCGAGTTTGCGTTCGGGTCTATCGCAAGTTTATTTTGTGTGCGCGTGTTGTAAAAACATACATTTCATGTAATACGTAATATGCAAACACATTTTCAAGTAAAATAATGTAAAGCGCGTGCGTAAACATAAACGGCGTTTGAGATATTATTTTATTTTATTTTGATATATAATAAGCATCGAGCGTTCCAAAATAATTGCTTTTTAGAATCGATATTTTATAAATTATTGATAAGTCGAGGCAATATGACATACTATCAGTGTTGTGGTTAAATGACTTTAAAATTAGCTACATGAGATCGGGAAATATGTAAATTCATCTTAGGTAAAATAAAGATGATTAGATGAAAGATAAAATTATATGGCGATTCAATTTCCAGATAATATTATTCTTAAAGGAATATAAAAATATATTTATTAAATTATCTATTAAATATATTTATTAAAATAACACTTTTATTTAAGATGCAAATGTAGATAATACATTTTTTATTATCTACATAAAGATGAAATGACGCCAAAATGTCATCTATATAATTTTATTTAAATAATAGCAAACACACACTGTAAAGTCATACATATAATGTTACATGTCGATAAAAAGCTCAGTAGCGTTTGCTTTAGACAATTAACAAGACAGAGACAAAGAAAAGAGCGAAGAGGGAGAGAAACTTACGAGATCCTAAAACAAGAATCACGAGAAAATCTCTTATTTTAAACTTACCGTAATCATAATATTATTGTACTTGGCGGTTAAAATCATTGCGGAAATAATAAATGTACGCAATTGTTTACATAACAGAGAAGCCGTCTTAAAAGAAACGTTGTAGCTGGGGATGCGCGGCATAAAATTCTCAACTAGAGAGAAAGAGAGAAATTCCACCAGATATATATATATATATATATATATATTAAAGAGGAATATCCCATCAAAGAATATTCCCTTAATAAAGCATAACAAATTCGAAAGATATCCAGAGGATATTCAGAGGACGTTCGAACATCCTCAGGATGTTCTCTGAACGTTTTCGGGATAGTTGTGCTGTTAGAGATCTGGTAAAAATATAAAAAATTAAATACCCGAGCGAAAAAATTTTTCTTGACATTACTATGTATCCTGCGCGCGATGTAAGCTTTAGAGAATATTAGACAAGTCTAACAAGGACGTATACTTTCCAGATTTCGGTGCAGACATAAAAATAATGAAAACGAGAACAGTGGTCACGAGTGCCACGTGTGAGAACCAGTGCACATCCAAGGGTAGCTATGATAATGAAAGTCATCTTAACAAACGTCAGTTGCAAAAAAGGAGCAGCTATGCGAGAGAAGGGAAGAGAAAGACAGAGAGAGAGAGAGAGAGAGATGAAGGAGCACTCGGAGAGACAGGCGGTGGGAGATAGATGGGTAGAATCTCTCTCTCTCTCTCTCCATTCCTGGCTCGACGAGGGCGAGAAAGGACGCGAGGGGTCCTCGGTGGACCACCACAGGATCCACATCCCCACGGCTCCGTCTCGCGCGCAGCGGCCGCCGCGGTGGTGGGGGTACGTCAGGGGAACTTGGGAGGGGTGGGGGTGCTATATCAGGCCGACGCGAGGGGGGGAGAGCTCAGTTCGTCCAAGAGGAGCGTATCGGTTACATCGTATCGTTCGCACGACTCGTGCGAGGTTTCTCTCTCGAAGCCGCATCTCGCACTCTCGCGAGATGCGACACGCAGTTATCGTCTCGTCGGCGACGACCCAGGAAGAGGGTCGGAGGACTCGACGAGGGTGTAGTTGGCTCCGGGGACTCTGGGACTTTCGGGAACTGCGAGAACCGTAAGTAGCCTCTCTCTCTTTCTCTCTCTCTCTTCTTGTTAGTAGATCGAGAAAGAGGGCTGGAGAGATGATTTTCGACGGTGTGCTTTTCCGCTTTCGCCGGAAGTCGAGGAAGGAAAGAAACGTGCGTTGGACGAATATATAGTGTTCCCCGAGAATTTGGTGACGTAAGAACCGGCGAACCGGGACTTTCGACGAATCTCTTGTTTTTTTCGGTGCTTACGTATAGTTGGTGGTTATAGTTGGTTATTCTCTTTCCCCCTCTCCATCTCGCCGTTTCTCTCTCTCTCTCTCTCTCTCTCTCTCTCTCTCGTCTCTCTCTCTCTCTCTCTCTCTCGTCATCACTCCCTCTCTTCCACCAACTCCCTAGTTACAGTGTAGCCATATTCGTGCATGTTCATTATGAATACGGCACGCATTATCTTGTCACGGCTTAATATTCTCTAAAGCTTACATCTCGCGCAGGATACATAGATATGTCAAGAAAAATCCTTTCTCTCGTTCCCTTTATTTGATTTTTTATATACTTACCGGACCCTAACAGCACACATATCCCGAAAACGCTCAGAGAACATCCTGAGGATGTCCTTTGGATATCCTCTCAATATCTCTCGGATATGTTGCGCTATTAGGATTTTCACTTTTACGCGGCTCTTCAGAGAACATCCTGAGGATGTCCTCTGGATATCCTCTCAATATCTCTCGGATATGTTGCGCTATTAGGATTTTCTCTTTTACGCGGCTCTTCAGAGAACATCCTGAGGATGTCCTCTGGATATCTTCTCAATATCTCTCGGATATGTTGCGCTATTAGGATTTTCACTTTTACGCGGCTCTTCAGAGAACATCCTGAGGATGTCCTCTGGATATCTTCTCAATATCTCTCGGATATGTTGCGCTATTAGGATTTTCACTTTTACGCGGCTCTTCAGAGAACATCCTGAGGATGTCCTCTGGATATCTTCTCAATATCTCTCGGATATGTTGCGTATTAGGATTTTCACTTTTACGCGGCTCTTCAGAGAACATCCTGAGGATGTCCTCTGGATATCTTCTCAATATCTCTCGGATATGTTGCGCTATTAGGATTTTCATTTTTACGCGGCTCTTCAGAGAACATCCTGAGGATGTCCTCTGGATATCCTCTCAATATCTCTCGGATATGTTGCGCTATTAGGATTTTCACTTTTACGCGGCTCTTCACAGAACATCCTGAGGATGTCCTCTGGATATCTTCTCAATATCTCTCGGATATGTTGCGCTATTAGGATTTTCACTTTTACGCGGCTCTTCACAGAACATCCTGAGGATGTCCTCTGGATATCTTCTCAATATCTCTCGGATATGTTGCGCTATTAGGATTTTCACTTTTACGCGGCTCTTCACAGAACATCCTAAGGATGTCCTCTGGATATCTTCTCAATATCTCTCGGATATGTTGCGTTATTAGGATTTTCACTTTTACGCGGCTCTTCAGAGAACATCCTGAGGATGTCCTCTGGATATCTTCTCAATATCTCTCGGATATGTTGCGCTATTAGGATTTTCACTTTTACGCGGCTCTTCAGAGAACATCCTGAAAATGTCCTCTGGATATCCTCTCAATATCTCTCGGATATGTTGCGCTATTAGGATTTTCACTTTTACGCGGCTCTTCACAGAACATCCTGAGGATGTTCGAATCTCCTCTGGATATTCTGGATATCGGATATGTTGTGCTATTAGGGGAATATTCTTTGATGGGATATATATATATATATATATATATATATATATCGTGGAATTTCCCTCTCGTTCGCTTTCTAGCAGGGCGATTCGATTGGACGCACCGGACTCTCTTCGCGAGACGCCCGAGATTACTCGCGAAATTCGATTTCATTGGAAAACCGCGGGGGAGCCGCGCCGCCGGCGGCCTCCCTCCTCCGCCGTTTACGTCGGTACAGATTAATTAAGCGATCGATGCTTCTGGAACACGTGAAATTTGCATTAGCCGGCGAGTGAGAGGCGCGTTTGATCCGCCACACGAGGGGGAGAATGGAACGTACGATCGAGAGTATTGCCGGGGGCGGGGGAGGAGGAGGATAGATACTTACGTATCTCAAATCTCTGCCTCCCCTATATTGTCTTTTGAAATTTTTCGATAATACTCGCGTAATTTGCGCAAGCGCAATATGTTCCTATAAAACAAAAAAAAGGAAGTCAGATTAATGAAATTTTAATATGAGGGGTTAGAGAAAGAAATGGGGTAGATAAAAAAATTATTAATATATTTTTATTGGTTTTTTTAATAATTATTAATTAGGCTCGTGTAAATTAAAAAATTATTAACAAGAGAGAAGCTAGTTAAATAAGCAAAAAATAGCAATTATTATATATGTAATAAAATAAAAATTATATATTTAATTAGTTGGTCTATCTCTTATTAATAATTACTCGTTTTTCTTCATAGATGAGAAGAATCGATTATTGTTTTATTTGACACATTTTTTTATAGATGCGAGTTCGACTTACTTTTGCCATTTGTGTTGAACGGATAGCTTATAAATAATCTAACCGATTATCAAGAATGTTAGCCTTTATTTCTCGCTACTAATAGATCAGGAGACAGAAACTATTTCCGATTTAGTTGCGATCCTAAAATCATAAAGAGGTCAGCGATATTCGATCGGTCAAAAGGTTTTGGAGCGTCCGAATCGGAAATTTATATTCGATTATCTGGCACATAAGATATATAGATCGTTCTAATTTTGGAATATAAAGAATGAAAGAAAATTGTGAATAAAATAAACTCCATTAAATAAAAACGACATCATGTCATCTTAACGAAGCGAGTTTGCATATAAAATCGATAACACAATCCTAATTAACTAAACATAGATTATTTATACACGAAATGTCAATTCAAGATTGCTGCAAATTGTCGACAAGTGTCGACAAATTATACCTACTCTGCTCGGTATACATTTTCAATTAGCTAATTAAAATCTCTTGAGCGAAATGTACCTACTGTTGAAATATATATATACTCGCTCTTGAAAAATCAGAGTACGAAGGCCGGCGAATATATGGAGCAAAATAAACACGTAGATCGCGAAACGGGTATCTCGAGAACGCGTCATTTCGCATTCTTACAACGTGCGGAAACGTTTGCGCAGCACGAGAGAGAGAGGGAGCGTGAGATAGAATTAACAGCAGCGAGATTAATGATTATACTCTTAATCGAGTTAAATACCCGTGCATGTGGCGGGCCTTTGTAAGAGATCCTTTATGCGCATTGTATGCACCTACGTTTCTACGGCGTGGATAAACTTGAGCGAATACAATCGTGTTTGGCGCGCAAACCGAGCAAAACGAGATCGATTCATTGCTTTTGAAGATTACACCTCAGTAAGTTTCCCAGTTCGAAAAAAACGTCGCGTCTCCCGCATTATTTCGCAAATTAATAGCGGTCCTGTTTATTTTTCACGCCCGTGCGCTCTTTGATCTATAAAGGCACGTAAATCTACATAGTGAAATGGAGTACGCTATACGTCGTTATACGACAAGATGAGATTCCTCATGGTCGAGAGATATAGCGTGAAAAGTTTGAAAACGGTAGCAAAAAATCGCCATGCATATATACACTGTAAAACAAAAATTTTGTAAAATTACATTTAAAATATGTAAAATTACATAAATAATAAATGTAAAATTACATGATGAATAATGAAAAGGTAATCATTTCTATTATTTATCGTGTAATTTTACACTTATATATGTAATTTTACATATTTTTGTGTAATATATTCTTATAGTGTACATATACTTTTTCGAGATTATTATATATATGTAATATAAAAATACATATATATACAAATATTTATATATATATATTTATTTATATAAATATAAAGTAATAAAAAAATAAAAAAATTAAATATATAATTAAAAAAAAAATATATATGTATAAAATTTCGGAAAAAGTGCATCGATAATGAACCTTTTAAAGGTTTCCGCTAATTTCTCTCTCTCCCTCTTTAATTTCAATTGACTTTTTTAACCGCAAATTCAACTCCACACGGGGAGTTATTTAACATCAAACACTGAGCAATTTATAATAAGCTCTCACTACATATATATACAATAATCCCACCCATGCGAAATTTAACGCCACGCACGCGCGTGCGAGAGATACAAATTTATTTCCAGAAAACCAGAATAATCCGGAATGCGGGAAACATTTCGGCGGTGACAGAGAGATACAAGTTGCGAACGCGCAACGCATCGAGCCGAAGTCACGTTAAGTACTCGCGGCGCGTTATACCCCGTTAAATTAATTCAGACCGCTTTGGTGCTGAAAGTTTTCTGGCCGTCGCCGTCGCCGCGCAAGCAAATCGCATTTACATGATATTTTCCGACGGAATTTACATGTTTGATTCCGCGCCTGGATACCGCCACTCAAAAATGCGCCGACAACCCTGGCCCTTTTTCTTTCCGCGTCTCTTATTTTTATTTACACGCCCTTTTGAGCGCTGCGCGCTTTTTGCAAATTTCGCGTCCGCGAGGGTGGCTTAACGGAAGCATCTCGTCGGGTCACGCTAAATTCTCTCTCTCTCTCTCGCCCTAATCCTGTTAACCTATCAACACACTCAAAGCCTTTTACTTCGCGCAGAGATATCTTCGCGTTCGCAATCCCATTAAATCCCTTCATCCGGCAGCACTCTCGGAATGCGCTGACTTTAACGGCGAGGAGATAATCTTCCATCGGCTAACATAATGTATCTTTCCGCTGATTTAAGCGAAACTTGGTCGAGCACAAGTTCGCGCAAGTCGGAAATACTAAGCTCGAAGCTGACAGACACCACGATTTTCTCCACCAGACTGTAGCCCGACCATAAAATTGAAAACTACGCTACTCTTGTCTGAGAAGATTCTCTTTTAACATCATTTCTGTGAAATAACTTGTTTATGCGAGTAAAATATTTAGATTATTATTTATATTAATTAACATTAATATAACT